ACTTTATAGTTGGGGTTATCCCCATCCTGCGTCCAACATGTTCTCATGCCGAAGTGCCTGAGCTAAGATTGCCTGGCCAGAAACTCCCTGATTGTAATTGAGTAGCCTTTTGGTATAGTCTTCGCTTTCCATTGTTTTTTTTTTACGTGTGGAAACCCCCTCGGGCCGTCATCCCACCGGGGTTTACGGCGGGGTGGTATGTCGGAATCGGACCGACTAAAACCACACGGTGTGCCACTCTGCGCCTGTAAAAGGAGGGATCCGGGAACTGCTGTTATTAAGACATCGGGGCCCCTCCTAGCGCCTGCCCGCAATGCAGCCTTTGTACTCTCCTTGGAGAAACGCACAAGTATGGGACGGTGGCGTTTCTTACTAGGGTTGCCAAGGCTGTGACAGGCTGTAATTGACTGTGCAGTGGTGTCCGCAATAGCCAGCCTGTTGTTTACAACCCCAAGAACTAATTCTATGCAGTCTTCACTGATGGTCTCGGGAACTCCTGATAATATTAATTGCGGTGATGCTTAGTTTCAATGTTGTCAACCTTTGGAGAACATTTTGCTATTTTTGTTGCGCTGTTATTCCTAACCCACACATAAGAATTTAGAATATTTAAATTAAATGATAAAAGGTTCAGTTATAGTTTGCCTTGTATATATGCCCTAACCCAATTAGACTAATATACATTAGTTACAAAACAAAGTTTTTGGAACAAATGTTGTATACATACGCGCAAGTCTCGCGGAAGCATGTAGGCTGGCCGCGTTGGCGTGCGATAACACTATCTTACTGGGTTAACAACCTATTGCAGAGTATTGGAAATATCGCTGCAATCACGTCGGCTTATCATACACGACTGTCTTCTAAGCAAACGTGTTATGAAAGTATTTGTTGAGTTATTGAGACGACCGTTTTTTTTTTTTTTTTATTATAAAAAGACAACGCCCGCATTAGGAATAAATCCTGTGTCGCGGGGGACTTTACAAACATATATGAAACGGACACAAAGAACACCCAGACTCAAAACAACAATTTGTGGATCACACAAAGTGTCGTCCCATGTGGGGTTTGAACCCACAACACTCGGCGTAGTAGGAAGCGGCGTGGCGACCGCTTAAACCACTACGCCATCCGTGCAGTCAAAGTGCAGTTTATTTCAATCCTGTTGATCTAATCGATTAATTGTGGTTTAGTTTCTGTTGGATTGAATGACGATTGCTTTTCATACAAATGGAATCATATTTATTTTATTTGGACACTATTACTAGGTCCCAAACAAGTTTGTTTTTGCTTTTGGTGTATTGCTTGTTTGACACAGAGTATCCATTTAAGTCCTAATTTAACTTTTATCCAGAACACATATCCAACAAAATAATGTTGTTATTTTAAACCTCCAGAGCTGAGCAAAAGTCGATATTAATATAAATTAAATTCCCGACACTGTGGTTTTAATGGGTTCAACTACCAAACAATCAGAGGATAGCACTCAGGCATTTGAACAAAAAAAAACTGACATGTTATGTTGCTGATATATGGTTACAGTTTTTTACAACATGGGCGTATGCAAACCCCATGGTGTTGCAAGCGTAGACTATACTTACTGCTTACCATGAAAAATATAGATATATTTACTAACTTATACTGTCTTAAGAATAATATTCTTTTGCGTTAAGTATTTGCGATAAGAATAAAAGCAAGTCAACTTCCATATTATATATTATCACCTAAGTAAACAACTATAATGTGTTACTCTCTCTTTACTCATTCTGAATATCACCAATAAATGAAACATTAAGATACATTGTTGTGCTAAGTAAGATGTCTGTTAATAGAATGTATTTATTTAATTATTAGTGAAATAGTTTATGAAGTAATAAGAATCGTAAATATTTGTATACATTTTTACCATTTCATGACAGTGATCTCAACTAAAACTTTTATCATTTCTACAAATGTGCGAAAGATTCATCGCACTAAGTTATATATTTAAAAGTAGGCGCCACTTAGTCGTGGTCGATATCGTAACGTAGTGCGCGAGGTCCCTGAGGCTTTTAGCTCCGGATGTGTTCACTATTTGTAAGATTCATCGTACTTACATAAATTTCGTCGTGAAAATAATGCAAGGGATATTTATTTCCAAAGTGAAGTTATAAAGTCAAACCGTTGATTCACCTCAAAGGAGTTTAAAATGTATTTGCTATGAAAGCAATATTTTGCATGAATCGTATTATTACGTAAAAATTGAAATTTGATTATTAGTTTTTGCTAGATCAGTTTCACTAGCCATAAATACCTAGGTTTTTATTCCCTTGGATTATGATGAACACGATATCTTTGTGGTGCCTGTCCGTTGCCTAAGTGGATGTACTTCACGTTTTCACAGTGAGAGTTTTCATGTCATATTAAGAAATTAATGACTGAATAATTAATTGTAACTTGTCGCAAAAATAACTGCCGTTTATTTTATTAATGACGCTAGTAGTGCTCTTATGTAACTAAACAAAATAAGAAATTTAATGCATGTTAAATTAATAATTAATAATTAAAATTAATTAATTATTAAATAATTAATTAATTAATTTATTATTTAATTAATTTGCTAATTTATTCATATTATTAATTAATTATTTCTCATTTGAATGAACGTTTCTCATATACATACTTCGTCAAACGCTGCCACAATACTATGACTTTTACAAATTTGATGCAAAAAAAAATGCAAATAGTCAACCTTTTTTGCAGACAGTGTATAATTATCAAAGAATAGGTATGCTATTATGTATAATAGCACGTCTGAAGCACTTATTACCATCTAACAATATGGTCACAAAAAATAAATATAGATAAGGATATTCGTAAGTTTTGAATAAAATTCGGACCAGTTGTCAGTTACGAAACATGTCCGCCCACGCGACAACTGATTTACAAATTTTCTAATTAAATTCAAGATTTCAGTTATTTATTGCTATACGATTTTTAATAGTATATTCAGTAATAAATATTCTATAACGTCAAAAGCAAGTATCGCTGCTAAGAATTGATAAAGAGAAAACAAGTTTTTTGTTACTAAATCATTTCTTTCAATATTTTTTATCAATGTGCTTTTAAAAAATAAATAAAAAAATATCTCTGTTTTTACGTATGACGTGTATAAGACTACATCCTGAGATGGATGTATGTAAATATGTAGATTAAGCGACCATGACGGGCATATCGAACGAATACTGAAAAAACAGTTTATTTAACCTTAAAACGACTAAGGTTAGACGATCGGGTACGAGTACAAATATGATGCATGACGACAAGTCGTTGGAAAATACAATCAAGGGTAAAGTGACAATAATTCGTCAAAAATTAGTTGGCTTCGGTTGGCAACATTTATTGTTTAGTTTTATTATAAAGGAGTCAAAGATGATGGTCGTTAATAAAGTCAATCGGATTAAAATAAGTTTAAATATACATTATTTTGTTTTAATGCAAAAGTATGAGATTACTTAGAAGGTTAAATTTAGTTAAGGTTTACTATGCTTATTGAAATGATGAACTACTTTTTTAAAGCATTTAAAAGTTTCGTGATAGTTAAAAAAGTTGCCCATATTTTATTTAAAAATATATAATTCTAAAGTAGACAATATTTCAAATTATTCACGTTTATTGTTAAAAACATTAATCCTGCGTAAAAACATTAATTTCAATTAAATAGATGGCTGGTATTTATTGCCTAAACGAAAATGAAACGCCGAAACATGTAAGTTTCTAACGAGTTTATGTGTAAATAATTATAAATGTATTTTTTTCGAAATCTAATTAGTAACTCAATCTTTCCTTAATAAGTAAAGAATAAACATACCCGTAAAACATTATCATAATTCTGTTCTAGAGGCAGTTAGGTTATAAATGTCCAGTTACCATTAAAAATAAACTCTGTTATTCCTTTACGTGTGCTTATTTCACCTCAGTATAATTCCATAACTCAGGTCTATCGCACTCATTATAATCTAAAAGTATATTATTACTTTACACATGATACACGTAGGTATCTACTTAAAGAGAATCTGGGTGTTGGGTGGACATTTCATTTCCGTAATTGTTTACAAAATGGCGGCAACCAACCTGTCAAGCGGCTTGATGAAATTTATATTCTATACGTGTTGAAAGTCAATCGATAAACAATTACAGAATGATTGATGAAAAGTGACACAATAATAATGGCAGGGTATTATCATTTTAAATTAACTTAATTGCAAATAAATATGTATTGCTTGTATGCGAACAATCTTTTAATTCGTTTCGAAGGTTTCGAAAGTTCAATGATCCTTTTTTGTATGCCGTTAACGTCACGCACTTTACAGTTTTAGGGTAAAAGAAATGTGATGTAATGGTTTGGAAATGCGCTGTATCTATAAATTTCTTTCAGCTTACCTAAAGTGTTGCCTGGAATAAAATTCCTTTCACCATGAAGCCTATATTAAAAATTACTAATAGTTTTGAAAGTATCATTAAACGTGTATAAATTTTTAATTGAGAATATATTATTATCTATGTATGTATATATTATCTATATATTGTTGTATATTATATTTTTATACTGATAAGGCAAGTAAATCATTGCCGTTTGACAATTGTTTTGAAATAAAATAGTATTTCGTGAAATAAGATTTTTTATATGTATAACTCATAATATATATATATATATATGTATATATATCATTGCGTGCCTGTCTGTTATCTCTTCACGCTTAAACTGCTGCGATTTAGATGAAATTTGGTATGGAATTAGTTTGATTCTTGATAAGGGGTATAGGCTTTTTACCGCGATAACCCTCAGGAACGCAGGTGGGGCCGCGGACAAAATCAGGTATTATATAGTTGTGTTAGCTGGTAACCGGTCATGTATTCAAAACTCATTTGTCACATATGTTTTTCTTTTACTTTTTTATGTCGTTGTCATTCAATTGTTATGTAGCTATTAATTAATTATGTAAGTAGTTATGTTAACTTACCACTGGAGGCGTTTTCCGAGGCGAACAGTGGGGCGGCGTTGTAATCTGTAATAAATAATAATTTCAAGGTTAATTTAGACATTATTGTATGTTCACCTTCAAATTATAATTGTTTGATAAAAAAAAAAAATAGAATAACCAAAACATCGATAACGCTAACATACAGACTTGTCTGAACTAAATTGGTTGTTAACAAACTTTATTGATATTTACAAAGAAATAAAAAAAAACGAGTGTTTTAAGTTTGCAGGCAACGCAATATATGATGGATACATATGTTCATATTATATGTTCAATATTTTAATCAAATCAAATGTAGTATATTTTTTATATGAGTAGTGTCAGACTCTCGTAATTGTGGGTCTGTGGGATCATGTCCCCTTACAATTTTAGTCTGTTATATATATATATATATATCCTTTTATCATTTAATTTAGTAAATATATTAAATTCACTCCAATAATGACTTCATAAATTCTTCTTCATAAGACTATATATTCTATTATCATAAAAACTTAAGTTGTGGCAAGATAGCGTTTCCTTACCCAACCCATTTGTGCCACTTGCCGAAAATCTTCCACCTGGACACGAGTTGCCATGGCTGACCTGGAAGTCTCTAAACAGACTCCGGACACAGGTAGGCCGAGTACACAGGTATTTCGCCCTCCGCCCGAGGATGTGCGCGAGTGGTGCGAAGCCGCTCGCCGAGCCACGATGGCTCGTTGGTCGTTCCGGCTGGAGACTCCACGCGCTGGCTTCGCCGCCGTGGAGGGGTCTCCAGCCGGTCATCGCCGAGTGGGCAGGGCGGCAGCACGGGACCCTTACCTTCCGGCTGACGCAGGGTGCTTTCCGGGCACGGTTGTTGTAAAGTACCTGCACTCGGTCGCTAGGAGGGAACTGAGTCCCGCCTGCCACCACTGCGACTGCAGTGAGGGACTCGGGCCCAGCACACGCTGGCGGTCTGCCCCGCATGGGCGACGCAGCGCCGGGCCCTCACTGCAGTCATCGGAGTGGATCTCTCGCTACCGGCCGTAGTACGCTCCATGGCCGGTAGCGGCAGTTGTTTTAACCGCGGTCGCAACCTTCTGCGAGGAAGGAGGCGGCGGAGAAGGCCCGGGAGGACGACCTCCACTCGGATCCGATCCGCCGCCGGCGAACGGGGCGGCGGAGGCGCGCCTATCACCGCCTCATGCCGCCCTGAGTGTGGCCGCGGGTGGACAGGGTGGGTTTCCCCTCCACCCGCATTGGTTTGGCCAGCCGCGAGGGGGCGGCGTCCGCGTGTGCCGGACGTCGCCTAAAGAGAGGAACAATTTTGAGACGGGGCCCGCAACTGGAGCGGGCCGGCGCTAGGAGGGGTCCGGATGTCTTAATAACAGCTGTTCCCGGATCCCTCCTATTTACTCCCTCCTATTACAGGCGCAGAGTGGCACACCGTGTGGTTTTAGTCGGTCCGAGTCCGACACACCACCCCGCCGCAAACCCCGGTGGGGTGACGGTCCGAGGGGATTTCCACACGTTAAAAAAAAAAAAAAAAAGGGTTTGTTACAAGATTTAATTCTCTCTACAGTGCTGTTGTCCTACGTAGCTTGCTCTCTTAGGTGGCTTTTTAATTTTATTAATATTTATGGTAAATTACCACTTAAAAAACTATACTAAATATAAACTTTCACTAAAACGGTAACAAACTAATAAGTAAGATTTAACAAAGAACAGAATAGTAACTAAATATCCAAAGTGCATTGCACATATATCATATTACGAGTATGAATCTCAAAAAGTAACTTATTACAAATAATGGTTTAGGCAGTTTTGTTAATAACCTATTAAATGTGATGATTTACAGGTGATAAGCCTATCTCGATTATATTGATGTACGAGTACATATTGTTATAAACAACATTACATTATTTTTTCTGTCTTTCAATTTGTTGATCCCTTTAAAGAATTGGTTCCATACAATTTATATCCACACCTAATGAATAAATAATAACTCAAATAAAGATATTATATTTTGTAGGTACGGTTTTTTAACTAAATTATTTAAATATCTTTAACTGGGTGATTGAATGCGGAGGACCAAGAGCTACGCCGGACGTGATGATAGAGGTTTTTAATCCTTCGCGTAATAGTCTTTGTGTAGAAAGATGGTTTGGGCCCATGCTGGCCAGACCGGTTGGTATACGGTTTGTGTCAAGTTTTCCTTCTCTTTACAATGCTGTTGTCCTGCGTAGTAAAAAAATAATAGTCATTAAAAATTACAACGTTCTATAGATATTTAGATACGTATGTATATTGATTATTGTTAATAATCTCGTGTAAATTAACTTTCATGTCGTTTAATCATTTAACTTTTTTAGTGTAGTTACTTTTTATATGGTTACTACATTCTTTAAACTGCGATTAACAGTTTATGTAAATTATGTAGATAAATGTTTTTCCTAAGGTCATTTTGTGTAATAATAGTCTTTAACCGCTGTTATTGTACCAAACCACGCAAAATTAAAGCACTTTTCTGATATTTTTTTCCTTTTTCTTCATAAATAATGAAAACAAACATAAGGTATGTATGTATTTGAGTATGAAGGTATTTTTTTACTTTGCTATGGAAATTCATATTTTGTAGGTATTTGTTAACCCTTCAGTTCTAAGTTATAATCGACTTAAAGGCAGTCATCTAAGTTTGTTATGTGACCCAAAATGTTATTCAACATAAAGGATTATTATGATTATAGTAAGAAAATGAAGAAGTTTTTTTAATTTAAATGAAAATTCAATTTTTACACAAAGCAAAATGAAACTATAATAAATTGCTGAATTAACATTTCAAAACTGAATAGAAGCCTGTAACAATGTGCGTGACCCTCTAAACTTTTACAATTTTTATTGCTTTTGTTCCGTGCGTCAGAATGACAGAACGGAACTCCTAATAAGATCACTCGTGTTTTGTTCTATCCGTTTGACACAACCAATTTAAGGTTTGGGCCAATTAAATTGAAATTTGGTACATTCATTAATTCCTATAACCCAAACTAATGTTCAGCTTCAATTAATGACTTCTGAATATGAAGGGGTAACTTCTAAACACGCCGTATGTGATAAGGTCCTAAACATACATTTTTTTCCAAACTTTAGTGAATTACCATGAAAATTTACAATTCTCTACGGCAAGTCGTGCCATAATTTTTGCTTTGGGAGGAAGTTTCTATCAAACCGCGTATTGCGCGACTGAGCTAACTTGAAGTATAAGGACGTACATCCTGCCGGTGGCATGACGCTAGACAATCACTCTCGGTATCCTTTCAATATTCCATACTTTGTTACAAAATAATATATACCTACTAGACATAGGTGACTTTATGTCGGGCGTCGACAACAATGCAGTAATTTAGAAATATACAAGAGTGTATAGATTCAATGTTAAAAACCTTAATAGTCAACACTAAAGTTTAAATAAAAGGTTAAGTTAGTAAAGAGAGACTTAGTAGTGTGGTGTAAGAATAAATCGTGTACATTTAATATTCTAAGCAGATGTTACCAGACGATTCTTCAGTCATTTCTTGATTTTATATTTGGTTTAAATTTGATAGTTTATAATCGGATATTATATTTTTGAGTTATAAATTTATCAAGTTCTTAATAGCGTTACCAGTTTAAGGTACTTACTGCCTTGAAAAAATTCTATCTCTGTTCATTTAGCACTTAATATTCCAGATATTAAGTGCTAAATGAAATCAAGTTCATTAAAATAATAATAATAATAAATTGACATGTCTCTCATACTGTTCTCTGATCCCAAATTGGGCAAAGCGTGTACTGATACATAACAACAAACGTATATATTTCTAAATACATGCGTATTATAGATAAATTACACCCAGATACAGAACAAATCATTATGCTCATTATACAATTACTTATCATGAGTGGGAATTGAACCCACGAGCTCTCGTTAAGCGTTAGGGTCACTAACCACTAGATCAACTGGTCAGTCATAAAACCTTATTACTGACCGCTATTTCTTTAGAATATTATATCTAAAGCTATACATACCAGGAGAGTATGATTATATCTGTGTCTTATCTTAAGAGAATCACGTCTAACCTTGAATACGACGAAGTGACTAGGGGACGCCATACACCCTAACTAGTATTAAACTTCATCAGTTTCCAACTCGCAGCATAGAAGTTTAGGCAGCAGTGACCGCCTACCTTTAATGTGGATATGTAAAACATAATACTGAATGTTCTACTTATAATTCCACAACTATTTATAGCAATTATGATTTACCGAAATAGTTATAGGTTAAGCGAGTAGGTCAAACGTTGTATTTAGGTTGTAAACAAGATAAGATCCTCTTGACATATATGTTAATTTGAATTTAGAATTATTAGAAATATACGAGTTAAAATAATGTTGTATTGTTTTTAAATTTTCGTGACTTTTATAAATCGTGAATTAATCCATTCATCCACTCAACCCGTGACGTAATATCACCGCGTCTGGTAACAAAAGTCTTCTAATAAGTGATTATTCCAGATTTCTATATAATTTTAATACATAAGTTATTTATATTTGAATTAGATATGTAAGTTATACACAACGTTGTTTCCTTATAAAGCATTGCCACCACATACGTTGCTATTGGGGTAGGAGGAGGGTTGTTGCCTCCCTCGCTACTAGTCTTTGTTCGTTAAGCGACCGAACCTTGTTTCTAGCACATTAAGCGCCACAAGGCTTTATGCTAATGAAAAATATTAAGTATCTCCTAATGTTTTACAATTTTCTTTTACGCTCATTTAATTTCTATATGAACCAGGCCACACTTCGTCATGCTTTAGTAATTATTTTTTAGTTTCTGTGAGCGTGTCTTTTGTGATTTCTCTTAGTAATTTTACAATGAAATCATAAATGCAATGCAATTTTTAAAACACACGAGTATATCACAAGTGAGAGATACTTCTGCATCAACAAAAGTGATATCACTGACGTCACAAGTGTAAGTACATTAAACAATGTGCATTTAACAATAAGTTAACAGTTAAGTGTGAGCAGAATAGAATTTTATCCAACAGTTATAACTGT